CACCGCCTCGATATCAAGCCGGATGCCAAACCTGTCAAGCAACAGCAAAGACGGTTTCGTCCGCAGATTATGGAAGCCATTGAGGCAGAGGTTAAGAAGTTGATCGAATCAGGATTTATCCGAGAGGAACAACATCCAGACTGGTTAGCCAACATCGTTCCCGTCATGAAGAAGAATGGCAAAATCAGGATTTGCATCGACTTCAGGAACCTGAATGAAGCATGTCCGAAAGACGATTTCCCTCTCCCGATCACGGATGTCATTATCGACAATACATGTGGATTTGAGAGGATGTCCTTCATGGATGGATTTTCGGGATATAACCAGATCAAGATGCATCCAGAGGATGAGAAGCATACGGCGTTTAGAACACCCCTCGGCGTTTTCTGCTATACGGTGATGCCTTTCGGCCTGAAGAATGCCGGTGCCACATACCAGCGAGCGATGACTAAGATTTTCCAAGAACATCTCAGGAAAACAGTCGAATGTTACGTTGATGATTTGGTTGTGAAAAGCCGCAACAAGGAAGATCACATCAAGGATTTGAAGACAATGTTCGATCTCATGAGGAGTCATCAGTTGAAGATGAACCCCACTAAATCATTTCTTGGAATGTCCAGCGGAAAATTTCTTGGGTTCGTCGTCACCACTAAGGGTATACATATCGATCCTGATAAGGTGAAGGCGATACATGAATTGCAGCCCCCGAGGAATCTGAGAGAACTCAGAGGATTGCAAGGGCGTTTAGCTTATATCCGGCGTTTCATCTCAAATCTTTCTGGGAAGTGCCAACCGTTCTCTAAGCTGAACAAGAAAGGAGTATCATTCATCTGGGATGATGCCTGCCAAAAAGCGTTCGAAGATATCAAAACATATCTGGCGAACCCTCCTGTTCTCGTTGCACCGAAATCTGGTAAACCGTTCTTGATTTATCTCAAGGCGATGAACCACTCGATAAGTGCCTTACTAGCGCAAGACGATGATAACGGTCACGAACAGGCAGTTTATTACCTCAGTCGGACCTTGGTAGGCGCTGAGTCTCGATATCCGATGATTGAGAAAGAATGCCTTGCATTGGTATTTGCGATGCAAAAGATGCGGCATTACCTGGTGGGACAGACGATCTACGTTATCTCCAACGTTAATCCAGTACGGGTGTTTATGACGCAACCGGCCTCTATGAATTGGCGTCTAGCGAAGTGGGCCCTTCTCTTGTCCCAATACGATTTGCACTTCAAGCAGCAGAAGTCGATAAAAGGACAGGCGATTTGTGACCTTTTGGCGGCAAACCCGACCACAGATACGGCAGAAGTATATGATGACTTGCCGGATGAAACCCACGAGGTTAACACCACATCACACCAACAAGTATGGCAATTATACTTCGATGGTGCCTCAAGGGCAGTTAATAGAGTAATAACCCCGGGATGTCCTACAGTTTCCTCTGGAGTTGGAGTCGTCTTAATCTCCCCTGGAAAGCACGTGATGCCTCGGGCTTATTCGTTGACTAGTCCGTGCTCCAATAATGTTGCCGAATACAACGCGCTTCTCATTGGACTCAGTTTCGCCAAAGAGCTGGGGGTCGAATATCTCGAAGCTTTTGGAGATTCGCAATTGATAGTCAACCAAGTTCGCGGTGAGTATGAAGTCAGGAATCAAGACCTGATCCCGTACCACCAGGAAGCCATCAAAATGGCAGAATCTTTCGAAGAATTCTTTATTGAATACATCCCTCGTCTCCAGAACGCTTATGCAGACGCACTGGCGGCACTAGCAGTATCACTGGCACAGCCTCCCGAAGCTGAGCTGTTAGTCACAGTACGGACGCATCAACTCTGCGTACCCATATACAGTACGGAGATTGAAGAAGAAGAGGATAGAAACGTGAACGCCAAAGAGGTGAATTCAACTCAAATTGGGTCTGAGTCCCGAGATTGGCGTTTTCCTATCATCGACTACGTCCAATATGGTATCTTGCCAGAGGATGTAAAAGAAAAGGAATCAATCCGCCGAAGAGCTCCAAGATTCTTCTATAATACTGAAACCCATACATTATACCGTAGAGGGTACGACGGTCTTTTACTCCGATGCCTTTCGAACAGAGAAGCAAAGGAAGTTCTTAAGGAAGCACACGAAGGAGAATGTGGTGCGCATCAGCCCGGTCCTAAACTGTATGATCGCATCAGGAGGATGGGATATTTCTGGCCAACGATGGTTCGTGACGCAATCGAATACGCACGAGAATGCCACGCTTGCCAGATACATGCGAATTATATGCATCAACCGCCAGAGCAGTTGCACACGTCAACCACTTCATGGCCGTTCGAGACTTGGGGTATGGACATAGTCGGTCCTATTTTTCCCCCTTCAGTCAAAGGTGATCGGTTCATCCTCGCGATCACAGATTATTTCTCAAAGTGGGCTGAAGCGATTCCGCTTAGAGAAGTGAAGACGAACAACGTCATTAATTTCATCAAGCATCATGTCATCTACCGACACGGCGTGCCAAGACGGATCATTCATGACAACGGTCCGCAATTTATAAGCAACGCCTTCATCAGATTTTGTAACAAGTTCAAAATTGAAGACGTTTCATCAACACCTTATTATCCCGTCGCGAATGGATTAGCGGAGGCGTTTAACAAGACGATCATCAAGATCTTGTCAAAGCTCGTGAAGACCAATAAACGAGACTGGGACGATAAACTCGGTGAAGCACTCTGGGCTTATCGCACCACCATACGCACTCCTACGGGAGCTACTCCGTACTCGTTAGTATATGGATGCGAAGCGGTGCTACCTTTGGAAATTCAAATTCCCTCCCTTCGGATCGCTCTCGCAACGGAGATGACGACCGAAGAACAACATCAGAAGCGTCTCGAAGAGCTCGAGAGGCTGGATGAAAAGCGTTTGGAGGCTCAACAACACATCGAGTTTTACCAAGCCAGGATGTCAAGGGCTTTTAACAAAAGAGTCCGACAGAGAAGCTTCAAGGAAGGAGATCTGGTCCTCGCTGCTCGCCGACCAATAATTCTCACCTCCAAGAAGAAAGGTAAATTCGAACCCAAATGGGAAGGACCGTTTGTAATAGACACAGTCTATTCAAACGGCGCATATCGCCTGATTACTCAAGAGGGCGCCAGGCAATTAATGCCAATAAATGGGAAGTTCCTGAAAAAGTACTATCCCTAGTACATTCAGGATAACTCGTTTACCGGGAAGTTCCTTGAAGAATATTACACTTAATATTCTAGAGGATAACCCAAAATCATTGTTCACCACCAAAATCCCTCACTGATCAATTTCAATTGACAGTGAGTCCACCAAAAATGTTTTTCTGGCCCTCTTGATTCTCTCCATGAGCAAGAGGTCCACTTTCAGTTCGGAGTCCCTTTTCGATAAACGAAAGAACTCCTTCCCTTTTTCTCTTTGGTTAAACCTTGTTCATGGTTATAACCGGAGTTGAAAATTCCACTTCGATAAACGAAGAACCCATTTTCAGTTTAGATAACTCATCCTATAAAAGGCAAGTTTATCTAAATTTTCCAGATTCTCGGAGTGGACACCCCACTTCTAGTTTCTTCCTCGCTGGAAATAGAATATAAAATTCTTCCTTTCCAGGATCAGGGAATAGAATATAAAATTCTTCCTTCCTTGTTTTCGGGTTCGCCTTCACCCTAAAAGAAGACCGGGAAATAGAATATAAAATTCTGCCTTTCCCGCATCGATCTTTTCCGAAATTTATCAATTTAGGATTCATCCTAGGAAGTTTATCCCGAATCCTAAGCAGGGATAAGTCTGCGCCTAACACGCGCTGCCGGTTTAGTCTTTTTCCGTAGAAAAAGACACCAGAGTTCGATTCTGGGGTATTCTATCCTGAAACCTAAGCAAGGATAAGTCTGCGCTTAACCCGCGCTGCCGGTTAGTTCTTAACCGTTGAAAAGAACACTCGCCCGCATATTCAACATTGCGGCAGGCTGTTATTAATAACACCAAAATCCATGCCTTACACGCATGGGGAATTTCATCCTGAATCCTAAGAAAGGATATGCCGACGCCTAACACGCGTCGCCGGTTTAGTCTTTTTCCGAACAAAAAGACACCAGAGTCCGATTCTGGGGTATTTTATCCCGAAGCCTAAGTAGGGATAAAGTCAACACCTAACACGTGTTGCCGGGTAGCCTATTCCCGTAACAATGGCGAAGTCTATGTATTCGACATCATAGCACGAAGTCTAAGGGAGTTCATTCCCTTAGCACAACGTTACATGCGGAACGGATTCCGATAATCCGCATGCTAGCCCGACTCAAACGGTAGTCGGTAAAGGCTAATCAAACCCGTTGAAGGCTGGGGGTTAGCCAAAAATCCTAAAGTCAACACCTAACACGTGTCGCCGGGTAGCCTATTCCCGTAACAATGGCGAAGTCTATGTATTCGACATCATAGCACGAAGTCTAAGGGAGTTCATTCCCTTAGCACAACGTTACATGCGGAACGGATTCCGATAATCCGCATGCTAGCCCGACTCAAACGGTAGTCGGTAAAGGCTAATCAAATCCGTTGAAGGCTGGGGGTTAGCCAAAAATCCTAAAGTCAACACCTAACACGTGTCGCCGGGTAGCCTATTCCCGTAACAATGGCGAAGTCTATGTATTCGACATCATAGCACAAAGTCTCGGAGAATTCAATCTCCGAGCATAACGTTACATGCGAACGGATTTAAACAATCCGCATGCTAGCCCGACTCAAACGGTAGTCGGTAAAGGCTCATCAAACCCGTTGATGGCTGAGGGTTTGCCAAAAATCCTATGAGTATTGTGGTCAATCATTTCAAATGGAATGACGAATCATAATAAAGACGAAAGCAAGTTTCACTAAGAGAATCAAAAGTCAAAGTGTTCAGCAAACAAAATCATACATCAAGACCATGACCAAAAATCTGCTGACTGATCTTAGAAAGCTTCTCATCATAAGCTTGCCTAAGTTCAGCCCTGATGGACTCCTCGGTGGTGGCTGAAGTCCTCGCAGCGATCTCTTCTGTCTCGGCTAGCTTCTGCTCCAGGGATCTCAACTCATCAGATAAAGCAGTGTGGGTTTGCTGATCCTGTGCTTTCGTCATCTGAAGAATATCCAAAGTCTCCTCTTTTTCACGGAGTGTTCTTCTGAGCTGGTCTATCTCGGTCGCACAAGAGGTAATAGAAAGATCAAGCTCGGCAAGCGAAGATAATCTAGTAGCAAGGCTCGTCTTAACTCGATCTACTCGGCCCCGCTGCATCTGAATCTCGAGCTCAGCAAAAATCCGAGTCTCGCGTGATGACTGTAAGCGGGCGTCCAGCTCGGTAGCAATAAATGAGGAGGCACCTGCATCTCGGAGCTCACGAAACATCTGAAGCTCATGCTCTAGGCAATCAAGGTCATCAACTATAGCCTGTGCCAAATCTGGATGTCCCGCTTCCCTTATCAAATTGACTTTAGAATCAAGGAAAGGCTTGAATTGGCGAAGAGAAAGTCCACCATGGAAAAGCTTGCCAATCATAGCATTCATGAAAGAGAAGAAGGAGCGGACTTCTATGCAGATGACAATCTTCTCAGGATCATCATCAGATAACAACTCCCTCGCCAGAATATGAAGACGAGAAGAAGGCCCTGCATGATAAAAAAAAAAGATAAAACCGTCAGAAAAAGACCTTGAAGAGTAAATAAATAGTATTCATACCCTCTTGAGTCACTGGGGGTGGTGGAGGTGTAACGGCTGGGGGTGTATCAACTGGTGTAGTTGGTCCCATAGCCGGCTCAACAGGGTCATTCTCAACAAAAACTCCTGTTAAATACAAGTCAGAATTCTCAGAGGCATCACATTATAGCTGCATTAGTCAAAATTGGCTAGTCCTATAATTAATTTGGGAGGAGGCATATACCTTCGAAAGAATCATCCTCAAGATTCTTATCGAACGTAGGCTCGGAAAATATATCTCCGGGTAACTGGCCATCAAATTGAGGAGAGCTATACATGAAGTGGAGTGTAGGAGTGTCCGCGATCAAGCCTTCCTCGTCAAAATCATCAATGGAGAAATCTGATGTAAAAGAATATAAGTACCAAAGAAGAGTAAAGAGACTACAACCAACAGAAATGAGTTACCCCTTATGGATGTGTTAGCCTCTTTATTCCCAAAATCCACGTATGCCTCCTGCAAGTTATCTGAAGAAGCAAGATGTACAGAGGTGATTAGAGGATGCACAAATTCTTCTGTATACCATCTAAAAGATACATTGTCAATAGTAGATGTACCTGGATCTGCGGAATCAGGTCCTACATTGCTATCCTCCCTAATGTCGGCAACCCCTGTAGGCTTTTTTAACTGAGGCAACGGGTCAGGTTCACCAGGAGACACAGGAACGGAATCGGGACTCATTTCGCTCTCTCCACGCTCTCCTATATAGAGATGGAAAAGCATGAGTCAATGTTCCGAATAACCAAGAAGGTGGTTTACAGAGTAGATGTTACCCCCGTCACTAGCAGGATCATCACCAGCCAAGTCCATATCAAATGCTCGGGAAGCTGCACGCGGCTTGCGGGCTAATCTCTTCCGCCTAGCAGCAGGGACAATAATCGAAGGTCTCGCCTGGGAAGGGGGACGGAACTCTTCATCCTGGTCAACTGTGGTCCCTGAAACATCAAACCATAGTCAGTTTCAATATTTCTGGAAGATGGAAGGAAAAGATGAATAGCAAACCTCGCTCGGAAAAGTCTTCATAACCTTCAGGATCTCCCCCTGAAGCCTCGTCTGCGGAATGAAAGGTCTTCTTTCCCTCTTCATCAATCCGACGAGTCTTGTTCCGTGTCCTCTGTGATCGAGCATTTTCCCAAATCCTACGGGAATCAACCTGAGAAGCTTCCTCGGCCTCTAGCTCTGCAATCGGCTTCACGGGGATGGTCTTGTTGGCTGCTAACAACCACTTGCAGCTTAAGAAAGTGAGGTTCAACTGCCGATCAGCACTCGGGAGACTGAATTTAGCACCAGTACAGCCAGTCACGGTCCACAACCACGCACGGAGACCATCTACCAAACCACCGTGGGCACGAAGCTGCTGACGAGGATTCCCGACGTAAAGCTGATCGTAGCCAAACTGACGAGCGAATCGACAGGGTAGATATGGCTCTATGAAGCACTGATCCCTCACCCGAAAAGTCAAATAACCTGGCCTAATGTTTACCAGCCAGTTAAAGCACCCGATGTCCAAGTGAGTTCTATACTCTCTCGGCCTCTCCTCATCTATCAAACAATCACCGTATCGGCCGGAGAACTGCGGAAAGCAAGTGGAAAATGTCCAACACTTGTGGACCTGCAGCTGCTGCCTGATGTCAGAAAATCCGCGCCCCTCCCACTTGCCTTTCTCAAGCAATTGTAGTAAAGGAACAGAATGATCTGTGGCGCTCGGTACCGACATCATATCAGAACGGTGAAGGACGAACCAAGCCATCAAGTAAGTATACGGGAGCTCTGTCTTAAGGGTGGGAATCTGAGTCGGCGATTCCTTTTCCTTCCGTGTAAAGGCACCAGAAAGCTGTCGAAGTCCTCGGTGAATGTTAGCCACCATCACCGGAAGAAGTGAGAGTTCTTTCTTGTAGGCAAGCTGAACTGCTGGATAGAGTACTTCCAAGGGCAGAGCGTCACAAGACTGGTACGAGACCACGCATTTCTTTAACCAAATAGCGAGGAAACCAGCAAGAAGGGTCATGGGTCGAATCGGTGCGGTAGCATGCCACAAGAATGATTTGAACTTAGTCCCTGCAGGAAAACCACCCTCAGAACTGCTAGTGGTATAAGAATGAGCATCAATCTTCTTCATCAGAATGTTCACCCCTGAGGGAGTAAGTGGGGCCAACTCACAAATAGCCTCGCCAGAATTACTCTCCAGATTCTTGAACAAATAATTGGCAAACTGCTTCAGACTCACGAATGTCTTAGTCCTCTTTGCTAAAGGCTCAGACTGCGCCAAAGCTATATGATAGTGACAAGTGAGATCCCATAGAGTCTCGTAGCGATCGGGCATACGATCCTTCAGCAGACTTAATTCATGGTTGGAGGGAAAGTATTCCTGATACAACATCTGTCCCATGGGTAAGCCAGAAATCCTGTGCATCTCGTGAAGAGCCAAGCCCAATTCCCCTTGCCGGGTCAGAAAAGTGTTCGAATCTGAATTATAAAGCTCGAACAAAGCACAGAAATGCCTTGCGCTGACAGGCAAGCCATACATGGTGGCACGAACGGCTGCATATAAACCACAAGCGTGCAACTCCTCGCCCCATCGGCTCAAGACATACGTCGTCATACGGGTCCACCAAAACTTGTCCAAAGAATGGACCCAACCATAAATCCTGTGACGCGTCGCAGGCATCTCCCGTCCTAGAGCAGCGAGGCGATTCCTCAAGGTAGAAGCGGTGGCGAGGAACTCGTTACGTGGTGGAGCATCCAGCCCCAGTACTCCGGGACGCAATCCGGTGATGTGACTTCTGCTCGAGCCAGGAAACGCCTGATGAGTGATGTAGCCGCAATGGACGCTCTCATGCTCCTCCGTCAAGCGCCACGACATCTCCCGTGTCACGGCCTGACGCCTGAGCTCAGTCAATGAACGATGCCGAGGAATCTTCGGCAAATATATGAAGCCACTGCCAGTTTTATGAAGCCACTGCTCAGCCTCAATAAACACGGCATCCGGGTCTTCGACAGAGTCGCCAAATAAGAAATCACTCTTCCGAAGAGGCTGAATAGAACTGGCGTCCTTCACAAGAGGTCCCGGAAAGTCAAGTAGCCCGGTCTGATGTTCACTAGCCAATTAAAGCAGCCGATATCTAAATAAGTGCGATACTCCCTCGGCTTCTCCTCATCAATCAAACACTCGCCATACCGAATGGAGAACTGCGGAAAGCAAGTGGAGAATGCCCAGCACTTGTGGACCTGTAACTGCCTCCTGATATCAGAGAATCCTCGGCCTTCCCACTCGCCATTCTCAAGCAGCTGTAGTAAGGGAACAGAGTGGTCCATGGCATGCGGTACCGACATCATGTCAGAACGATGAAGGACGAACCAAGCCATCAAATAAACATACGGAAGTTCCACCTTAGTGGTAGGAAACTGAGTCTTCTCCTCCCGTGTAAAAGCGCCAGAAATCTGTCGAAGCCCTCGATGAATGCTAGCCACCATCACCGGAAGAAGTGAGAGTTCCTTTCTGTAGGCAAGTTGAACCGCAGGATAGAGCACTTCCAGTGGCAGAGCGTCACCAGACTGATACGGGACCACACATTTCTTCAACCAGATGGCGAGATAACCGGCAAGGAGAGTCATCGGACGAATCGGTGCGGTCGCATGACATAAGAACGATCTGAATTTAGTCCCTGCAGGAAAGCCACTCTCAGGACTGCTAATGGTATAGGAGTGGGCGTCAGTCTTCTTCAGCAGCTCATTAACCTCTGAAGGAGTCAGCGGTGCCAGTTCACAAATAGCTTTGCCAGAATAGCTCTCTAGATTCCTGAACAAATATGATGCGAATTGCTTCAGGCTCACATTTGATTTGGTCCTCTTCGCTAGGGGTTTAGACTGCGCCAAAGCAATGTGATAGTGACAAGTGAGGTCCCATAAAGTCTCGTAACGGTCGGGCATGCGATCCTTCAGCTGACTCAACTCATGGTTGGAGGGAAAGTACTCCTGGTATAACATCTGTCCCATGGGCAAACCAGAAATCTTGTGCATCTCATGTAGAGCCAAGCCCAACTCTCCGTGCCTGGTCAGAAAAGTGTTGGAATCTGGATTATAAAGCTCGCATAGGGCAAAGAAATGCTTCGCGCTTGTAGGCAAGCCATGCATGGTGGCCCGAATGGCTGCATAAAGGCCGCAAGCATGATCGGCTCAAGACGTACTTTGTCATACGAGCCCACCAAAACTTGTCCAAAGAATGGACCCAGCCATAGAATCTGTGGCGCGGCGCAGGCATCTCCCGTCCTAAGTTAGCGAGGCGATTCCTCAAAGTGGAAGCAGAGGCAAGGAACTCGTTACGGGGCGGTGCATCTAGCCCCAGTACTCCAGGATGCAGTCTAACAATGTGATTCCTGCTCGAACCAGGAACTGCCTGATGAGTAATGTAGCCGCAGTGAACGCTCTCATGCTCCTCTGTCAAACGCCACGACATCTCCCGCTTTACAGCCTGACGCCTGAGCTCAGTCGAAGAACGATGTCGAGGAATCCTCGGCAAATACAAGAAACTACTGCCAGCCTTATGAAGCCACTGCTCGGCGTCAATAAACGCTGCATCGGGATCTCTGACAGAATCACCAAACAAAAAATCAGTCTTCCTGAGAGACTAAACGGAACTGGCGTCCTTCACAAGTGGTGCATCGGTAATCAACTGTCGAAGAGCTCGGTGCCCACCTTCCTTCACCGCCTGGACAACCTCAGTCGATGTGCCCAAAACGAACTGAGGAGTGACTGGGATAGGGGAAACATCGTCGGAGGTCGAATAATACTCGCCACGACGCCCGTATACTGCGTGAGATGAGAACGCTCCAGAAGGGTATTCAACTGAGAACAAGCAATTAAACGTTTGTTAATTCCAGTTATAAAAGGAAATTGAACTCATCTTACGAAGGGGTAAGATAGAGTCATTGCCTTATAAAGGGTGTGACGTTCGGCAAAAAATCATCAGACGTCGAATAATATTCATCACGATGTCCATTCACCGCATGCGATGAAAAAGCTCCGGAAGGATACTCCACTGAAAACAAGCAATTAAGTGTTTGTTAATTCCAGTTATAAAAGGAAATTGTACTCATCTTACGAAGGGGTAAGATAGAGTCATTGCCTTATAAAGGGTGTGACGTTTTGGCCACGTTGCACCTTCATAAGATAGGGTATATCAACAATATATCCCTGTCTTATAAGGCACAACACAGCGACAAAACGCCCCCTTTATTTATTATGAGATAGTGTTTTGACCAAGCAAAACATATCTTTGAAGCGTCGATCCTCACCAAG